CTTCCCAACTCGATCTTTAGATTCAGTGTAATCCCAATCAAAATCCCAGGAAGTTATTTTGTTGGTGTCAACAAACTGATTCTAAAGTTTATATGGAGAGGCAAAAGACTCAGAATAACCTGAGTCTAATAACAATGTTAAAGGAGAACAACAAAGTTGGAGGACTGACACTACCAGACTTTAAGACTTACTATAAAGCTACAGTAATCAAGACAATGTGGTATTGGCTAAAGAACAAACAAGTAGATCAATGGAACACAGTAGAAAGCCCAGAAGTAGACCCACACAAATATAGTCAATTGATCTTTGACAAAGGAGTAAAGGCAATTCAATGGAGAAAGGACAGTCTTTTCAACAAATGGTGCTGGAACTGGGCATCCATGTGCAAAACAAATAAATCTAGACACGGACCTTATATCTTTCACAAAAACTAACTCAAAATGGATCATAAGCCTAAATGTAGAACACAAAACTAAAAACTCCTAGAAGATAACATAGAAGATCTAGGTGACCTTGGGTTTAGCAATGGCTTTTTAGGTAGAACGCTAAAACCGTGATCTATGAAAGAAAAAATTGAGTTGTATTTCATTAAAATTAAAAACTTCTGCTCTATGAAAGACCCTGTTATAAGAATGAAAAGACAAGCCACAGACTAGAAGAAAATCTTAGCAGAACACTTATCTAATAAAGTACTTGTATCTAAAACATACAAAGAATTCTTAAATTTTTCAGCAATAAGAAAAACAACCCAGTTAAAAATGGGCAAAAAATCTGAACAGATACCTCCCAAAGAAGATAAACAGATGGCAAATAAGCATATGAAAAGATACTCAGCATCATGTCATTAGTGAATTACAAATTAAAACAATAATAAAATACCATTACACACCTATTAGAATGGCTAAAATTCAGAACACTGACAACACCAAATACTAGCAATGACGTGGAGCAACAGGAACTCTTATTCATTCTAGTGGGGATGCAAAATGTACAGCCAATTTGGAAGACAGTTTGATGATTTCTTACAAAAGTAAATATCCTCTTACCATACCATACAGTAATTGTGCTCCTTGGTATATTCCCAACTGAGTTGAACACTTATGTCCACACAAAAACCTGCACACAAATATTTATAGTAGCTTTATTCATAATTGCCAAAGCTTGGAAGCAACCAAGATGTGCTTCAATAAGTGAATGGATAAACCAACAGTGGAACATCCATACAATAGAATATTATTCAGCAACAAGAAGAAATGAGCTATTAAGCCATGAAAAGACATGGAGGAACATTAAAAGCATATTGCTAAGTGAAATAAGCCAATTTGAAGAAGGCTTTTCAGTATGAAAAAGCCATACTGTATGATTGCAACGATGTGAAATTCTGGAAATGGCAAAACAATGGAGAGAGTAAAAAGATCAGTGGTTTCTAGGAGTTTAGGGCACGGAGTGAGGGAGAGACAAATAGCTGGAACATGGTGGGGTTTTGAGGGCAGTGGTACAATTCTGTATGTGGTAGTAATGATTAACACCTGTCATTATACATTTGTCAAAACCCATGGAATGTGTGACACAAAGAGTGAACCTTAATGTAAACAATGGACTTCGGTTAATAATAATGTATTAATATTGGTTCATCAATTATAACAAGTGTACCACACTAATACGAGAGATAAATAGGGGGAACTTGGGGGAAGAGTGTACTTTTTGATCAATATTTCTGTAAACCTATAGCTGCTCTAAAAAAATTAAGTTATTAGTTAAAAAACAATGTAAAATTTTTAACTTGATTACATGTTGAAATGATAATATTTTGTATATTCTGGATATGTTTTGCCCTGATAAAATATATCACTAAAATTAATCTCACCTGTTGTGTTTTTTTTTTTTTTTTCTCTTTTAAATGTAGTTCCTGGAAGAATTTACATCTGTGGCTTGCATTCTATTTTTGTTGAACAATGCTGGTCTAGAACCAAGTTCTTGCAGCTCCAATTCTTGCAGCTAAAATTCAGAACACTGACAACACCAAATACTAGCAAGGATGTGGAGCAACAGGAACTCTTATTCATTCTAGTGGGGATGCAAAATGTACAGCCAATTTGGAAGACAGTTCTGTGGTTGCTTACACCTTGTGTCTCTTCTGGGCCCTACAGTTTCAGGATCTTTTCTCTAGTGCCATTTCTTTTTAGTCACTTTCCTATTAACAACATTTCATAGTTCTCTATTTGTTCTGGGAAGTCATGAAAATTCCTCTATGTCATATTCTGTTTCCATTGTCTCTCCTCTTATACTGTATTCTATATTCTGGCCTCCAGCATCCCTCCCTCCATATAGTACTCTGCATGTGCAACTTCTCTAGTTAACAGCTACTCGGACTGAGTCATCTCTTGCTTGGCTTGTCTCAGGAGTGTCTCCCACATTTCTGCCACTCTGCTCAGAATGTGCTCCCCAAGAAGTCCTCCTTGTTGAGTCCCACCTCACACTAATGACTCCTGCCCTTTGTTTTCTCCCGATACTTAAGCATCCCATTTGTACCTCTATATCATGTGTGCACCTATGTACATTTCTTGCCTCCCTAATTGGACTGTAAGCGCTGCAAAGGTGAGGATTGTGTTTCCACTCCTCCAGTATTCCAAGGTTAAGTGGGATGGCATGGGCTTATGATCACAAGCTTTGCTTTTAGACATCCATGTTCAAGTTTCAGTCTCCCACTTGGCAGCTGCGTGGCCTTGAATGAATCACTTAACTCTCTTAGCTGCCATTGCCTGATACGGAAAATGGGGAGAATAACAACATTACCTCATAGGGTGGTTGGGTTGTCAGTGTTTTATGTTGAGATACTATCAGAGGCACTTTTATTTTTTATTTAAGTTTGTTTTCAAACTCCTGCAAAATGGAGACAGCAGGCAAGGTGCTGTTTCCAATGCCAGAAGTTAATCTGTGATTATACTGTGAAGTTTATTTCAAGTTCAGTGACATAAGAAGTGGTTAACAATAATTTTGGTTCAGGAAACATAATCATCTCCTTCCCCAGCTAGGACTTCCCATAACTATTTAAATATATTTCATGATTTTGACAAAGGATTAAAATTTAGATATATGATAAAATATTTGTTAGCCAAGTCCTTTTCTTTTTATATCTATCACAGAAAAAAAACAACTCATGCCGTCTTTTGCTTATGTTAGGGCAAAGTCTAGTCTTGTTCCAAACTCTAGTATTTCCAAACTGATTTGCCGTCAAGAATGTTCTTTGTTTATCTCCCTGGCTTTTAAATATTTTTTATCCCTCAGTTTCTCTTATCAGCAAAGAGAAACAATTTACAACATAGTACTTAGATTAAAAGTACTTTTAGGTCCATGTGATTGTCTTTATATAAGTTTTATTTTAATTAAGCTGATTCCTTACTTAAGGAGAGGCTCACGTTAAGAATTGCATATTTTTCTTTATCAAAAAAGAGACTTCTATTATTCTGTTTTCACAGTGGGATAAGTAAGATATTGCCTTTTAGCACTTCACACAGTGCCTTATTCATATTCAATGAATATTAGGAACTTGTAGTGGTAGTATGATGCTGTCAGGTCACAGGTGTTATAAAAATTTTGGCTGAATTAATATCATATGAGTTTGACATCTAAGCAGCAAGACTTTTTATCAGTTTTAAAATGGATATCTTGTTTGGTTTGGGAAGCAAGTGAGTATTAAAATGTAGATTGCAATTTAATTTAGTGCTGTGGTGTGAAAATAGAAACTACTGTCATGACTTGATGTTTGAAATTCTTTGATTTTTTTAAGCATAAAATACTTATATTTACTTTTGTAACTGTATTATTTCTGAATATGAGTTTGGGGCTATAGTTTCAAGCACATCTCTACAAACAGCACATTTTGGAAGAGAGAGATTTTTTTTTTCTTTTTGCTGAGGAAGATTAGCCCTGAGCTAACATCTGTGCCAGTCTTCTTCTACTTTATATGTGGGTCACCACTACAGCGTGGTTGATGAGTGGTGTAGGTCCATGCCCAGGATCTGCACCCGCGAACCCAGTCTGCCAAAGCAAAACGCGCTGAATTTAACCACTACGTCACGGGGCCGGGCCCTGGAAGCGATAGATTTTATTCCTAATAAATAAGAAGCCAGGTTGTAATTAATCACTATATTTTCTCCTTGTCACATTTTTTTAAGAACTAGAGACATCTTAATAGGCTACATGAGGACTTTGGATGGATGCAGCTTACATATATGGTGAAGAGTATCTTGAAGTGAGTATACAGAATCATTTTCATTTGTATTTAAACAGGTGTATTTTCTGCTTCTTTGTCTTTAACTAATGACCAGTAATGATCATAATTAAACAATATGTGACTAAAATTATATTAAATGGTATTAAAGCTCAAAACCTCCATAGCAGCAGCAGTATTTAGCTGTGACACACCAGCTAAATGATGATGAGACCACATGACTGGGCCATTCACACCTTCGTCAGACCTCTACCAACTACTGTGAGTGTGCAGGATCCACTCCGATCGCATTTCCACGGAGGATACACAATATATATTCCAAAAGAGAGCAAAAATGAAGAAGATACTCCTGTTGCCTTGAAAGATGCTTTCTCTAATGGCACTGAGATAGGATGCCTATGTCTGTGAAACACAGCCCCTTCTACTTTCTGTCTGTGGCTGTTCAGCCCAGCTCACACTGAAATTCATTCCCTGCCAACCAGACAATGTCTTCACCTACCACCTCACAGTAGTCTCAATCTAGGACAGTGATGACACAAAAAAGTTTGTGACTGCTTCTGGTTGCCCTAGAAATCAACCAAGGCATCCCAAAGGATCAACAGTAGATAGTTGCAAGTCTGAAAGAAGGCCAGAAATTTTAATGGCTGGAAGACAGTACTTTACAGAATAGAGGAGAGATTAGAGGGTAGAGCTGGGAGAGCAGATGCTGAGAGGAAGAGAGTGAAGAGCAAAGATGTTGTTCGTAAAGCTGGCAATTGATAGGGCAATGGCTGAAACAAAAGACAACAGAGATAAACAGCATGATGCTACAAGAACAGCAGAAGCGACCAAAGGTGCTATGAGGAGAGGATGCAGTGGGGGTCTATGGAAGGATCAACCAGCAGTGCAGACCCCACCCTCACACCCTCTTTCGGTGACAGACTCAGAATGGTTGGATCTGAGTGCAGAAGAACAGTGGGTATTATTTTCCTTCCATTTTGCGTAGAGGCAGGAGAATATTCATTTATCTGGAACAAGTGTAGCACAGGAATGAAAATTCTGTGCTCTCGAGTCACACAGGCACATATCCTGCCTCTGAAACTAACCCTGGGACCTTTGACAAGTCACTGAATCTCTCTTGGTCTCAGTCCTCTTTGCCATGAAATGGGGGATAAGGAGTACCCACCTCAAATGGTTGTTTGGAAGATTAAGTAAAAGAATCCATTTACATTCCTAGCACAATGCCTAGTGTATAGTAAACTCAATAAATGTTCCTAGGGAAATAATATAAGAACCTCGTAGAAAAGAAAAATAGAAAAGCAGAAATGTCTTTTAAAGAAATTAGCTTTATTTAAAAGGCAAATATAGTTTTGTTTTTTCCAGTTCTTTGTCACAAAATCCTTCTCTTTTGCTGCTAAGACAAGTCAGAGAAAAAGAATATTTACAACCTAGATTGCTAAACATAGAACCTATTTTCTAACTAAGCAGGTTAAGAAATAAGAGGTCTTGAGCCGGCCCTGTGGCTTAGCGGTTAAGTGCGTGCGCTCCGCAGCTGGCGGCCTGGGTTCGGATCCCGGGCGCGCACTGACGCACCACTTCTCCGGCTACGCTGAGGCTGCGTCCCACATGCAGCAGCTAGAAGGATATGCAGCTATGACATACAACTATCTACTGGGGCTTTGGGGGAATAATTAAATAAATAAATAAAATTATAAAAAAAAAATAATGAGGTCTTGCAGATGCCTAAATGTGACTGTGCTCTATATTAATTGACAGATTTCTCTGCTGTATTTTTCTGCATTAAATTAAAAAAACTTTCTTGCCATCAAATTGTTTTATCTATCTAAAATGTAAACCTTTGAGAATCATAACTAAATATGTTATAGTTAGTTGTTGGAAATTAATGATAGCTTCTAAGTTATATTGTTAATAACTTTACGCATAACTGAACTTAAAATGGACTTACCAACTTTGAAAACTTATTTTCTCATCAAAGGTAAGTTCTTTGTTCTACCAACAATATACACAACCAGTGGTTTGTGGAATTTGAAATAGCAACTCAGCCTCCCCTCTCCAGTGTTAAAATAAAGGTGCTTCTGACAGTCTCAACCTCAAACACAGTGTGGCTCTTTGTTTATAGTGGTATCAGAGAGCATTCCTTCCATGCTTCAAGGAAAGATAGAAGTTAAAGATATCGTAGAGTCTTTCCTATTGGCACAGAGAAATGCCTTTTGCTACATATGAAAAGTGAGTCCCAAATCAACTCTGTCATACAATTCACACCAGAGCATGTTTCCTGAAACCTTTCTGTAAATCCTAGTATAATTTCTCTTTTTGATCTTCCAGGTTGGCCTGGGCCAAAAATACTCAAGACCCTCGGATTGCAGTAGGTTCCCAGTCCCCACTAGAAAAGAAGATTAAGGTGAGGAAATACATTTACCATGAACTCTGGAGCCAGTAATACAATCATAAAAAGTTTATCACCAAGGTAGAGAAAGCCTGAGCATTTCAAGGGAGAGTGTGTTGCCTGTTATGTTTAGTTCAGCGTTTGGTGGTGGCGGGACAGCCCTGAACAAAATAAACACGGCCCCTGCCCTCACAGGGCTAGTCTAGTGAGGGACGTGGACATTAAACAGTTAGCACAGACTGTGATAGTGTCATGAAACAATGGGACTTTTTTTGAATGAGTATGTGGAAGGTCTCAGGAAGTGACATTTAAGCTGAAATCTAAAAATTATGTACATAAGGACCACAGTCAGAGCTGCTACATTGTGTGTGTGGGAGTATATGAAGGAAGAGCACATGAAAATACTCAGGTGGGAAAGAAAATATGGTTTTTGAGGAACAGAAAAGTCACTGTGGCTGTAGCAGAGTGAGCACGCAGTCGAGCTGAGAAGGTTGTCTAGAGGCAATCAGGAACCAGATTATGTACGCCAAACTGGAATTTGGGATTTTGTCTTAAAAGCAATAGGACGCTATCCCAGGTTTCTACGCAGGAAAGTGACGTGCTCAGATTTATGTAATACAAAGATCACTCTGGCTGCTGTGTGACTGGTCTAGTGGGGCTGGGGGCAGAGGGAGAGAAGTATGGATTCAGGGAAGCTGGTTAGACTGCTACCCTAGGGTGGGGGCATTTTGAAGTTAGAAGTAACAGCATTGAGAAGGAGGAAACTGAAGAAAACACTTTGGAGGAAGAGCCAAGTGGAGATGTCAGGTAGACAGTATCTAGGTCTGAAGTTGAGAGGTGAGCACAGGGCAGCCTTGTGTGCCTCAACTGTCTTGCTCCTCCCTTATTCCCACTCTCTAGAGCAGTGCTGGAACAGGGTAGGTCACCTTGTTGAATGATTGAGACTGTCTGTGTCCAAGGAAGCGTAATGTTACTGAGTTCTATCTTAAGTGACAACTTCTCTGCTATGTTTTCCTGCATTACACTTAAAAGACAGAACCAGCAAAGCAGATGGAGGTTGTGACCATGAGGTAGGAAGAGGATGAGGGGATACTCATTCACTTGGGATATTCAGCTAATGGCTGGAACAGTCTAGGGGTTCCAAGATAGCCTTAGACACATGCACTTGGCCATAGCCTGGAAGCCAGAAGAAAGTAAAGTATTTCAAGGAGGAGAGAGTGGTCACCTCTGTAGAAATGCTGCTGAGAGGTCAAGAATGACAGGGACAGAGATAGGACCACTGCATTTGTCACTATGAGATCACTCATGACCTAGATGAGAGCACTCTCAGAGAAGTACGGGGATGCAAATCCAATTGAAGAGGATTGAGGGGAAAATGTGTGGTGAGAAAGTGGAGAGGGGCTATAGGTAACTGCTTCAAGGTGAAGGGGAACAAAAAAGTGGGTAGAAGCTAGAGAGGGATGTGCAGTAAAGGAAGAGTTTTCCTTTTTTGTTTAAAGATGATGTATACTGAAGCATATTTTTGGAGTGATCCAGTAGATGGGGAATTGTGATGAAGCAGGAAAGGGAATTCGGTAATCACAAATTGATGTTCTTGAAGCTCAACAAGCACAGGTGAAGAACTGGCTTTTGACAGAGGAAGGGGCAGTGTTTCCCTTATAAAGGCAGGAAGACAGAGTCCGGCATGATGCATGGTGGTGGTTCTGGCAGTGGGAAGAGAAGGGCGTGCCTGAGTGACTGCTTCTGTTTTCTCAAGGAAGCATAAGGCAAGTCTTCAACAAGGAGGGAATGCTGGGGGAGGAGAGTGCAGGAGGTCTGAGAGGAAGACATGACACACGGTTAAGAGACCCTAACTGGGGCATGCTGTAGGAGTGCCAGGCAGGGCTAACAGCCACTTGCGAGCTGTGCCATGGACTGTGTATAATAAAGGACATCCAACTTAAAAAGTTCTAATACTTTCCTTTGACAAGAGTTTAGGTGGTGTCCATTCTTCAGAAGTGAGGAAACTGTTAGCCCAAAAGTTTCAAAAGGAGAATGAAACACTTCATAAACTTAAGGCCGTGTCTTTTGACTTCCGGTTTGCCAGAGCAGAGGCATACTACTATCAACGACATCAAGAAATGATGCTGGAAGAAGCATGGAAATACGTGGTTCCAAAATGGGAAACTAAACTAGACGAAAAGAGACCACAAAGTGAAACAACAGATGCTAAAAAATGGGACTATCTAGTGCCTGAGAGGGAGCTGAACCAGATAGAGAAACACATATACCGAGCCGAACGTGCCAGAGGCCTCAAGGACCACAAGTATCAACTACTCCCTCAAAGAATTCCAAGTGAAATACTTTTCCCCCAAATATTAACACTCGAGAAGAATGAAAAGACTGAAAATATGCAGAAAACACCCAAAACTAAAACCAAAAAGCACAAGGTGGCGTGGGCAAAGAAACAGATAAAGGGACACCGCGATCGAATGATGCGAGGGAGAGAACTCACAGAACAAAGAAATGATAAACGAGGTGCTCAGAAACTTTCCTCCCAGGGTCTTCCTTTCCTAAAATCTCAAGCGGAGAAAGAGGAAGTCAAAGAATTTGAATGGGTCACAGCCTATCCAATTGCCCAGCCTTACCAGGAAGCAATTATAGAAGTGACTATTCTGATGGAAAAGTCAAAAAAAGAAGATAAAATTAAAAAAACATTCCAAAGAGAGCTCTTGAGTATGCCACCGTTTTTGAGAAGTCAACTGGAGAAAAATAAAGTTTAAATTGTTTTCTAGATTATTGTATTTCTTTTTTAGCATACTTTCATATTTGTTAGTGCAGTAAAATCCTATACCCCCTAATTTTCTTAGTGCATCAAACTGGGAAAAAAAAAAAAAGTTAAACCACAAGCACAGCATTCTGAAATGTTTCACCTATCTGTGTACCTACCTCAAAACTTTTAGTAGTGGTTTTAGTAGCTTAAAACCACCACCTTTTTATTATGTCTCACAATTCTGTATCAAGAATTCAGGCAGAGCTCAGCTGGGCAATTTTTTTGCCCCATGTGGCACCACTGGAGCTGCATGGGGATATTCAGATGATGGCTGGGCTATTCTGGAGGGTCCAAGATCTCTTCCCCTACATTGCACTTGGCAGGGACGACAAAAGGCTGGGCTTAGCTGGTCCCTCTGTCTCCCCTCTTCATGTGGTTTCAGGGCCATGTGATAGTTGGACTTATTACATGGTGACTCAGGGCTCCAAGAGACCTGTCAGACGCTACAAGGCTGCTTATGACCCAGCCTCAGAAGTCCCAGGACATCACTTCTACCATATTCTATTGCTTAAACAAGTCACCAAGACAGCACAAATTCAACACTCTTCCTTTCAGAAACATTTGGAGTCGTTTTTTAATCTAGCACTCCAAGACTCTGAAAAGTCTATCACACACCTCTATCCTTCAGTATAACTTTCACTGTTCTTTTACATTAACACTGCTCATAAAAACTAAACAAGTATTTTTATGTGAAAAAAAAAAAGCCTACAATTTGACAGCTTCTGAGTTGATCTTGACTAAAGAGGCCTGGCTCCCTCTCTGCAGAGGTAACTATAGACAGAAGGTGTAAAAGCCTGTTATAATTATTATGCAGATACCACGTTGTCTTGTGTTATCTCCAATTCAGCTAAAATTTAATGGGATGTCATATACCTAAGCCTAAGCCCTAGCCTGCTAGAGATCCAAGACTCTTGGCAGTAGCCTCTCAAGGGGCTTATAATCTTTTTGGGGAAAAGAACAAAAAAGAAATAAAGCAGCGCATGTCCAATTCTGTAGTATAAAAACCTATACTGAGAATATGGACGAGAGAGCAGGGTAGCAATTTATGTGGAGCCTGAGTTGGCACCTTGGAGGATGACTCCTTGGAGCAGTGAGGAAAGCAGGGCCTCATTCAACATGGATGCCTACCTCCCACCAGCCACCCTCAGCACAGAAATAAGGCACAACCTGGCCCTGGGGGACTCCACTTGAAGAGACATGCAAATAAACACCAGGAGGAGCACACACAGGATGACTGAGGTGAGAACAAGGTGCTATTAAAACACAAAGTTCTGGAGGAAAAGAAGGGCTTTGGGGATGTGACCTGAGTTTGATTTTTTAAAGATAACATATATTAGTTGTTTTCTATTCAGAAGTTTAAAGAAAAAGTGGCCCAAAATCTCCCTGTCCAGATAACTTCTGTTGATAATTTTTTTGTGTGTGTGAGGAGACCAGTCCTGAGCTAACATCCACGCCAGTCCTCCTCTTTTTTTGCTGAGGAAGACTGGCCCTGGGCTAACATCCATGCCCATCTTCCTCCACTTTATATGGGACACCGCCACAGCATGGCCTGCCATGCAGTGCGTCGGTGCACGCCCAGGATCCGAACCGGCAAACCCCGGGGCCGCCACAGCAGAGTGCGCGCACTTAACTGCTTGGGCCACGGGGCCAGCCCCCCTTCTGTTGATAATTTTTAAAAAATAATGAAAAAGTGCACAATTAGAAAACTCAGTTACAGAAAGGTACAAAATGTAAATTAACAGCGTTGTCACCTTGGTTTGTAAAAGGTAACCACTTTGAAGTTTCTTACATGAGGCGTGTTTGAAACAAGTAGAAAGAAGACGAATGAAAGGGAAGGAGGAAGGCACTCTCAACACTCAAGCTTGAAAACTGTAATGTTAAGACCACATGTTGTGTGATTCCATTTATGTGAAATGTCCAGAAGAGGCAAATTTATGGAGATAGAAATAGGCAAATTTAGACAGAAAGTACACTATCAGTTGGTTAGGGCTAAGGCGTCAGAAGGGTAGGTGAGGAAGGCTGAGTGACTGCTACTGGGTTACAGGGTTGGGGGGGACAAGAATGTTCTAAATTAGATTGTGGTAATGGTTGCACAGTCTTGTGAACACTAGACTGAAAAAACAATGAATTGTACACTTTAAATGGGTGAATAGTATGGTATGTGAAATATATCTCAAATAAAGCTGTTTAACCAAAATGAAAGAGATGGCCAGAGTTTAGAGAGGAGGAAGTAGACTAGAAACGTAGGCAAAGGGCCTGATCACGCAAGGCTTTGAACATCACTTAAGAGCTCAGGCTTTTCAAATCTCGAAGGCAATGGGGAATCACTGAGAACCTGACAAGTGGTGTCGAAGATGTACAAGACATTTGAAGGACAGGATGTGGGGGCACCAGATGGAAGTCTGCAGCAGAAACCTGGGCAAGATGGAGAGAATCAAGAGACCAGATAGGAATCAGTGACCAATTAAGGTAGAGGTTGTTGGGGGGGAAAGAGAAAAGAAACCCTAGGTTTCTGTCTGAGGAATATAAAGTAGTAAAAGTACCAGTATAGGGATTACAAGGAGTACAGATTTGGGGGCTGAATTATATATATGTTTAAAACAGCCCATAGGTTGCCCAAGAAGCCATTAGTTACATGTATCTGTAGCTTTTTAGAGAAGTTAGTCAAATAAAGTTTTGGGAATGTTCAGGATACAGATGTAGTATAAATCATGAGAGTAAGACGGTGGAAGGGGAACCAGGGAAAGCATCGGACATGAGGATGTACAGTTTTCAAGGAGTACATTGTCAAGTGTCAAATGCACAGCATTTATCCGTTGGATTTAAGTTTGCAAAAGAATTGCTAATAAATTTGGCATAAAATAGCCTCAGCAGAACGATGAGAAAGGAGGTGCGACACTGCATGGTTTCAGGACTGACAAAAGGGGAGACAGCATGTGATACTTACTTAAAGAAGAGAGAGAACAGTAACTTGAGAAGGGTCACAATGCTTTTTTAAGATGAGAAATGAGCATGGTTGAAGGGAAAGCACTAGAGACAGAGAAGGGATGACTGACAGAGCAGAGACCTGAGGATGCAGGAAGAGCTAGAATCCAGAGCCTTCCACAGAAGAGACATCTCGACTGCCTGACACCAGAAGGAAGGAATAAGAAAGGATCGATGTAGAATGTTGGGGAGTGGGAAAAGGAACCAACTAGGGACTCAGAAAACATCGACAGACCTGAAGGCCCAGCACAGATGAGAAGCATGGGAGTCGCACTACTCCACCGTTATATGGTTTCCTCTGTGGCAATCAGCAGCCCTTGGGTACAAACAGAAGACTGCTGGTGAAATGCATCCAGGGCTGGTGTTGCTGGGAAGGTAGTCCAGCCTGGCTTGGCAGAGGATTGAATACTTTCTTGTGTGTAAATCATAGGCTGAACCATATGAAATTGCTGATATGTGACATGTTTTACCTACAAAAACAATTGCATATGGTTCAACCCAACCGTAATTTCTTGACTTGACTAGCTAACTTTACAGCTAAAGATATATAAAAAGAACCATAATGATCCATAAACCAGTAACAACCTAACTAAAAAACTTTCAGTGGGACAAGAATGGGGAAAGGAGAAACTCTCCCGTGATGGGAAAATAAAGAGTAACTACAATTATTTGTGAATATGGCAGTGAATTTCCTTTAATCAAAGACAACCATGACAAATTCATTAACTATCAAAAGCTACATTTTACTAAAAACAATCTGTCTTTAAAAATGTTTAATCATACAATATATACAATACACGCTGCTTTCCTTTTTGGATTTCACTATCCATCCGAGTCCTAAAAAAGGAGGAAAAAAATAGCTGGTTAACAGTTTATAAATGATAAATCAAAATTTCATTTAATATACATAAATGAAATCTAACAACTAGTCCTTCCTCAGTGAGTAGGGCCCAGGTTAACCCACATTATATATCTTATATCTATTCACTTTCCCTCAATTATCTTAGGAAAAAAGAAGCTCAATTAATTAAGGCACATATTAAGAGTATACATTAAGTACTAAAAAGCTGATTTTAATCTCAAAACCATAGAAAACGTGAGCTAAAAACAAAAAACCTTAGCAATTATCTAATTCAAAATCCCCCCATTTTATAGATATATTTCCAGATAAGGAAAATGAAGCTGAGTGAGATCAAGTGACTTGCCCAATGTTTTAAGAGTAAGGGGCAGGGCCAACAGAATCCAGGTCTCCTGATTCCCATCCATAGCTGTTTGTAGTACAGAATGCCAGATCATTACTAAGATTTCCTTATAACAATATTCTTGGGCCGGCCCCGTGGCCTAGCAGTTGGGTGCGCGCGCTCCGCTGCTGGCGGCCCGGGTTCGCATCCCGGGCGCGCACCGACGCACCGCTTCTCCGGCCATGCTGAGGCCGCGTCCCACATACAGCAACTAGAAGGATGTGCAGCTGTGACATACAACTACCTACTGGGGCTTTAAGGGGAAAAAAATAAATAAATAAAATCTTTAAAAAAAAAAAAAAAAAAACAATATTCTCCTTCATAAAAATGAAGAATTATTTCATAGCCTAACTCAAATTTCAGAAATGCCCATTTACTAATATCATTCCAAGGTAATTCTGTCCTAATTCTCCTTTTCTGCTTTGTACGTATAAAACCAGCAAATCTAGTGGGACAGCGAACAAAACAGATGGGAGGATTCAAATTTCCACTTATCTAATTTATCAGTTTTTTAGGGGGGGGGGGGAAGCCAAACCAAAAACAAACTCCTGCTCTGCCTCTGTCAACTGCACATCTTAAGAACACCAAAGTAATCACTCCAAAGAAGGGAATTTGCAACCACTAGGTCCTGGTCTGCCTTTCTCATCAGCACACACAGTTCTAAGAATGGGGCACTAGAGGGAGGCAAAATCCAAATTTCACCAAAATGTGAAAAAGTAAGATGGTTTGGAATGCCAAGTAAAGTTTAATAAAAATGTGCACTATCCCACAGAAAATGGTACCTTCAGCTGG